CAACATCGTCAAACCTCCTCCGTACACACTGACAGTGTCAAACCTCCTCCGTACAGACTGTCACAACATCGTCAAACCTCCTCCGTACAGACTGACAGTGGCAAACTTCCTCCGTACACACTGACACAACATCGTCAAACCTCCTCCGTATAGACTGACATAATATCGTCAAACCTCCTCCTTACAGACTGACACAATATCGTCAAACCTCCCCCGTACAGACTGACACAACATCCTCAATCTTCCTCCGTACACGCTGACACAACATCGTAAAACCTTCTCCGTACACACTGACACAAGTTCGTAAAACCTCCTCCGTACACACTGACACAACTTCCTCAATCCTCCTCCGTACACACTGACAAAACGTCCTCATTCCTCATCCATACGTACTGACACAACATCGTAAAACCTCCTCCGTACACACTGACACAACTTCCTCAACTCTCCTCCGTACACACTGACACAACATCGTAAAACCTCCTCCGTTAACCGTAAATACTGACAAAACTTCGTCAAACCTCTTCGGTACAGACTGACACAAACACGTCAAACCTCCTCCGTACAAACTGACACAACATGGTCAAGCCCCCTCCGTACAGACTGACAGTATCAAACCTCCTCTATACAGACTGACACAACAACGTCAAACCTCCTCCGTACATTCTGATACAACATCCCCAATCTTCCTCCGTGCAGACTGACACAACATCGTCAAACCTCTTCCATACACACTGACACAATACCGTCAAACCTCCTCCTTACAGACTGACACAATATCGTCAAACCTCCCCCGTACAGACTGACACAACATCCTCAATCCTCCTCCGTACACACTGACACAACATCGTAAAACCTTCTCCGTACACACTGACACAACTTCGTTAAACCTCCTCCGTACACACTGACACAGCTTCCTCAATCCTCATCCGTACACACTAACACAAAATCGTAAAACCTCCTCCGTAATTACTGACAAAACTTCGTCAAACCTCTTCGGTACAGACTGACACAAACACGTCAAACCTCCCCCGTACAGATTGACACAACATCGTCAAACCTCCTCCGTACAGACTGACAGTATCAAACCTCCTCTATACAGACTGGCACAACATCCTCAATCTTCCTCCGTACAGACTGACACAACATCGTCAAACCTCATCCGTACAGACTGACACAATATCGTCAAACCTCCTCCTTACAGACTGACACAATATCGTCAAACCTCCCCCGTACAGACTGACACAACATCCTCAATCTTCCTCCGTACACGCTGACACAACATCGTAAAACCTTCTCCGTACACACTGACACAAGTTCGTAAAACCTCCTCCGTACACACTGACACAACTTCCTCAATCCTCCTCCGTACACACTGACAAAACGTCCTCATTCCTCATCCATACGTACTGACACAACATCGTAAAACCTCCTCCGTACACACTGACACAACTTCCTCAACTCTCCTCCGTACACACTGACACAACATCGTAAAACCTCCTCCGTTAACCGTAAATACTGACAAAACTTCGTCAAACCTCTTCGTTACAGACTGACACAAACACGTCAAACCTCCTCCGTACAAACTGACACAACATGGTCAAGCCCCCTCCGTACAGACTGACAGTATCAAACCTCCTCTATACAGACTGACACAACAACGTCAAACCTCCTCCGTACATTCTGATACAACATCCCCAATCTTCCTCCGTGCAGACTGACACAACATCGTCAAACCTCTTCCATACACACTGACACAATACCGTCAAACCTCCTCCTTACAGACTGACACAATATCGTCAAACCTCCCCCGTACAGACTGACACAACATCCTCAATCCTCCTCCGTACACACTGACACAACATCGTAAAACCTTCTCCGTACACACTGACACAACTTCGTTAAACCTCCTCCGTACACACTGACACAGCTTCCTCAATCCTCATCCGTACACACTAACACAAAATCGTAAAACCTCCTCCGTAATTACTGACAAAACTTCGTCAAACCTCTTCGGTACAGACTGACACAAACACGTCAAACCTCCCCCGTACAGATTGACACAACATCGTCAAACCTCCTCCGTACAGACTGACAGTATCAAACCTCCTCTATACAGACTGGCACAACATCCTCAATCTTCCTCCGTACAGACTGACACAACATCGTCAAACCTCATCCGTACAGACTGACACAATATCGTCAAACCTCCTCCTTACAGACTGACACAATATCGTTAAACCTCCCCCGTACAGACTGACACAACATCGTCAAACTTCCTCCGTACAGACTGACACAACATCGTAAAATCTCCTCCGTACACACTGACAGTATCAAACCTCCTCTATACAGACTGGCACAACATCGTCAAACCTCCTCCGTACAGACTGACACAATATCGTCAAACCTCCCCCGTACAGACTGACACACCATCCTCAATCCTCCTGCGTACAGACTGACAGTATCAAACCTCCTCTATACAGACTGACACAAACACGTCAAGCCTCCTCCGTACAGACTGACAGTATCAAACCTCCTCTATACAGACTTCCACGAGAATGTCAAACCTCCTCCGTACATACTGACACAACATCCTCAATCTTCCTTCGTACACACTGACACAACAACGTAAATCCTCATCCGTACATACTGACACAACATCGTCAAACCTCTTCGCTACAGACTGACACAAACACGTCAAGCCTCCTCCGTACAGGCTGACACAACATCGTAAAACCCCCTCCGTACAGACTGACAGTATCAAACCTCCTCTATACAGACTGCCACAACAACGTCAAACCTCCTCCGTACATACTGACACAACATCCTCAATCTTCCTTCGTACACACTGACACAACAACGTAAATCCTCATCCGTACATACTGACACAACATCGTCAAACCTCCTTCGTACAGATTGACAGTATCAAACCTCCTCTATACAGACTGACACAACATCCTAAATCCTCATCCGTAAACACTGACAAAACAAAGTAGATCGTCATCCCTACACACTGACACAACATCGTCAAACCTCATCCGTACAGACTGACACAACATCGTCAAACCTCCTCCTTACAGACTGACACAATATCGTCAAACCTCCTCCTTACAGACTGACACAATATCGTCAAACCTCCTCCGTACAGATTGACACAACATCATCAATCTTCCTCCGTACACACTGACACAACAACGTAAATCCTCATCCGTACACATTGACACAGCATCGTCAATCTCCTCCGTACACAGGTGGTTTGGGAGCGAATAATTTCCGGCACCACATGTGGTGTCCGTCATTGTTTCTTATATTCTTATAGATATCGTCCTTACATAAGTGATACAAGAAAGCCCCCAGTTGTACCGAAAGTTACCGTATTACAAATGTAGGAATACATCTATGGCGTGCTGTAGAGTTTATGAGTTACATATGTTACAACACGTGTCGATGATATGTCAGCCAGAGACCAATTCTACACATAAACTTCACCCTTTAAAATCATTACGATGATTTGTGTATCTATATACGTCTGGTTTAGGTCATGACCCAATTGTTTCGGGTTCTCTTAAAAACTTTATTTTTCACGATGCGTTTTCTTACATTCAATATAATGTGATTTGGAAGTATCCGACATTTATGTAGTACACCAGGGGGAGATAAATCTTCTCTATGCACAAAAGAAGTCGATATAAGCAAGCCATAGACACCACTTTGCGAAGAAAACTAGATGGAAAAAACATTTCAGACCATAATCCCATAAATGTCAGCAGTATGGGTACTGGAAGTGAATTGTCGAAGTGAAAGTTAGTGAGAGTGTCGGGGGACGATCACCTGTAACATGTGACTAGGTACAGGTCGGCATAGGGGCGGTATAAAGGCTATAACCGTGTCTGTGGTCCTGGCCTTATCATTCCTTAGTCTACCATTACGCCATTTACACTTCGCTAACCAAGTCCCCACTTAATTGTGCGGAGCGTCATGTGTATCGCCATGACATGTTAAGAGACTGGTGGGAGGCTCACGTATACGTCTTACATTTATTGTAGATATCTAAGCCACGGTGAACGTTTGAACCGAAAAAAGTACTCTTTGAGGTTGTAAGGAATCATTCATAAGTAAAGTCGTACTCGTAGAAAAATACGCCTTCATCCTGATTTTGTGGGTGTTCCTTAAGTGATTATATTCGGTTAAATCTTCTTTGCTGTGTTAGCTCGTCGTATCGACTTTATGTCCCCATTTTCTCTATGTTTACACATACTTTCATCAACTCAAATAATGTCAAATTGTATTGATCAATTCCTTTTAAAAATGCACTTCAGGAGTATTTTCTATTACTTTGTACTTTGAGTAAATGACTGATATCTGTCAAAAGCCGTTCTGACCGTGATAAGTAACATCTAAATTTTGCATATTAATTTGACACATTTATCTGACCTACTTGTTATTTACAGTGTACATTAATGAAAGATATGCCTTTCATTACCTTGTAATTTACAAATTGGCTCCGACAGTAAACATCCTTGAACGAAGCAAAAGTAATTAATTAGTTCCCCCAGTTTAGTAACTCACCAATTGATTACGTTTACTTATATCTTGCTTTTTAACGGGTGCAAACATGAATAATAGCGTAGCAATACCACAAGACATTAAAGACCCTGCCAAACATAAACGGTGAGGTAGGAGACCTGGAACAGTGATGAGCAACATCAAATGGAGCCGTAAAGCATGTATAGGAAAGTAATAAAACATAAAATATAAAACAGAAACGTATAAAATATCAACAGAACAAGGGTATCAAACATAAATAATTGCCAACGTCGTGTTGTTTGATAGGTTGATAGATGAAATAAGGGAGACATGTTGCCGTCGTACCCATTGGTAGTGAGCTTACATCGTCTCCATTGCATATGTAATAATTTGTAATTGAGTGTAAATGTTTTTCGTCTGTCGATGTGTGTGGTTAAGTTTTACTATGTAACACATTGCTGTATATTTTTCAGATGAGCCGAGTAAAAACTACCCAGGTGAGTACATTTTATACAGATACATGTCCATTAAAGATGATCTAACTGTGTGGCTTGCCGTACCTGTTTTGCCTGATCCATGTCCAGATATGTAATACAAAAGTGCTCTGTACGTTCTCACACCCCCTTCACCGCTTCAATATACTCCAACGGGCATTCAGACTCTTCTTTCTTACACATCCGATACTCCAAGTGTGCCCTGGTGTGCTGAGGTTATGGATGTTATTTCTATTTTACTTCATACATTCCTGATTCCAAGTTTTTCTTTGTCTATTGACGCATTAGGAACTTTTTCTATTTTAGTTAAACATCAAATACCCAGAGTGTGTCCTTGTGAATTGATGATTTGTTTTTTCTCTTTTACGTTTTACTTTTATTAATGTCGTCCAATGCCAGTACGTAACAATGGATTATAGTTGTATCAGTACAATGTGGAGCCATCTTTATATAACAATATTTACACAACACATCACCTTAATCAACAGACTATCAATGTGTATGAACACACGTAAGGATGGTCGGTGGTGTCCTGTCCGACGATAGAACATGAATGTACATAATTGTTTGAATATTATGTAGGCGGACAACATACCATCATTGTACATACATAGCGTTTAGGCGATCTTTGGACGCAACTGGTGTACATGTAGCTATCTAGTTAGACATTAGGCGATTTATGGGCACACATCAAGTAGCTACATGTATTATCTAGTTAGACATTTGGCGTTCTATAGACAAACATGGTGTCTCTAGTTTCTTATCAAACATAAGCCATATTTGGACTTGGCAGGAAAAAGGCTATCTATTGACACCCACAGTGTAATCGCTTTGTAGTTAGACATTATGTAATCTATAGACATATATGGTGAAGCTATTATTTAGTCAGACATAAGGCGATCTATAGACGAACATGGTGTTGCTTTGATCTAGTTGGGAAATAGACGGCTAGGGAGGCACATGTTACGAACTAAATAAGAAATTGTTGTGGAATATATAAAATCAGGATAAGAGAAAGCTGGAAAAACATCAAAATCATCTGCCGCTTCCACCGTTTGGAATAGTTTTACACGGTCATGGTCTACCTTTGAAAATCAAACATGTACACGCGTGTGTATTTTCCAAACAATGTATTGTTATATACATTGCACGAATGAAAAGTTCCATTGCTACGCCGTCATTGAAGACTAGTGGACTAAGGGTACATGATTCAAGCGATTTATTTGGAGAAAGACTTGTTTGGAATAATGTCAGATGCTATTCAGCTAGACGTCCAGAACTACTTAATGTAAATACATGTTCATATTTCTAAATAAATTAATATAGAATATATTATACTTTAACGATATTTTTGTAGTGGGAATACAGTTTCGTTTTTGTTTTAATTTCGCGCAAATCTCAACAGTAAACTATATTGCATTTTTCAAGAACTATACTTTTTTATGACATAATTGTTTCTGAACAGTAAATTACATTATTTTACATCATACATAAAGATTGAAAGCATTGATAGCACGACGACATTCGTAAGCGTAATTTTCTACGCCTGGACTTAGTTACTCTTTTATCATTCTTTCATAAATCATGTACCAATTGTACTTAAGTTCATGAACAATTATTCCTTCCTTAAATTGGCGTAGTAATTCCTCTTTCACAAGTAAGCAATTACAAATCACAATAAGATGAATTAAGCAAGTTGAACATGCTTTCAAAAGCTTCTTGTACCTGATTAAGACTAGAAGGATAAAATGCTACGGACGTATTTGGAATAAAAGAGACCTATGTTTTTCGCGTCTGAACAGATGTAAAATATATCTAATGCCTCATTCGGAATATAAGTGTATGTTTGGCAGCCGCTGTACTAAAATAGATCTTTCCGCAGACTCAGAATAGAAGTATATGTTGTACAACGTAAAAATACGAAAGATTTGTTGGGCGATTTATGTAGAATAAATGTGGGAGTTACTATTGATTCATTCAGAGTACCAGTATAGGTTGGTATTAGCGTGTTTAGAATGAAGCTAGATGCTTCTTGTGACTTATTTAGAACAGAAGCAGGTGTTTCTAGCAACACATCAAAATGAGAAATAAGTATTGCTCCTGGCCACAAAACACCAAGTTGATGCTTCTTGCGATTTGCTTAGAACATTAAGCACAAATATTTATGTATTTTCAAATCATTTGATGGTCATTCATGTAAGAACAGAGGTGATCGATTTTCTGAAGACGAGAAATGAAAACTTACCACATTCAAGCACACACACCTAAAATGGTCATTTAGTTATTTGATGTCACAGTGTTATATGTCCATCTGTTTGTAATATACTTAGCGTGTTGATCGTAAGAGTTTAATTTTTGGCCGATTAGGTCTTCATTGCTATCATATATTGGTTGTAAAATTTGAAATGAGTAGCAAAGGTATTTTCCACATCGATGTAAGACCACGGAAAGTATTTGGAAGCTATCCATGTTAAAAGTTCGGGCTTTACTTGGAACATATCAATGATCAGAGTTTAGACTTTATTAGGGACATATCCTTGTTCAGAGTTGGCGCTTTTTAGGGGAGGTATTCATGCTGAGAGTAAGAACTTTAATAGGAACGTATCCATGTTGAAAGAAAGAAATTCATTGGGAGGCATGAATCATGTGAGACGTATCCATATTCAGAATTTGAACATCATTGTTAAAAGTTGAGAGTTAGTTCTTCATTAGGAACGCATCCTTGTTAAGTAATCCCTTTATAGATAAGAAGCTTATATAGGAGTATATCAGGTTTTATCTATCTAGAAAATACAGTAAATAGACACTGTTGGAGGTTGTTACTTTTGCTCAGTTCAGGTTTTTGTTTTTCTGTTGGTAACAATTGACAAGGAATGTACTTTTGTTCTCTTTTCTTTTGTTACTTGATTTGAGATGTTTATAGGGGAGTGTCTATAGACAAACCGATATGTTAATATTTTTCTTTTATTTGTGGTCGGCTATGGTTGGAGTAAATTGATGTTGTATTAGCACTGCCGCATGCTTTACTAACGCCTTCCGTTGATTAACACTGGTTTGTATCCCCAGAGGTCCACATATCCGGACCCAAGTTTGTAGAGCGAGGACACCCTATACGCCTGACATGTAACGCCACAGGCTCCATCAGGCCTCCAGAGCTGATCGACTGGTTCCAGGAGGGACGAAAGATTAAATCGAACTCCCTTGGAGGAATCTCCATCTCAAAGTATATGCGCCAGGAAACAAACACACTTTACAGCGAACTCGTCATCAGACACAGCGATCAGATGGATTCCGGGACGTACATCTGTCGCAGCTCGGAAGATAAGATCACAAGCCATGACTTACTCGTATTAAATGGTAGGTCAGCCAATGGACCGTCGGATGTACTCAATGGTAGGTTACGTTGAGAACTCAATGGTTGATCTCACCGTGACTATCACATGCATAACGATATTTGTATCGCACTCTCAAGGCAATCAGACTTTTATAACTCACGCATCAGTATAGCACCCGTGTAAATTGTAGGTCTGTACCCGAACACAATTTCATGAAATAACGCTCTGTTTGAAAAACGAAACTGACACAGGAATGAGATGTTTTATAAACTATTATCTCCCCTGGATATTACAATGTGTGGTATTGCCCACCATTTTAGGTCCGCCTGAACACACAAAACAAATAAGTAGCTAGTTCGAGATATAATTAACAGGTTTTTCGACACCACATTAATTACATGTACGTAAGGCCATTTGACGGCAACAACAAGTAACGGTATTTGTAGTTAAGTCCTGAAAGCCAATATCTTCCTTTAAAAGGTACATGTAAGTTGCGAAGCAGATCAAAAGGAGGTGGCGCAGATGAACAGTTGCGCATATAATTAATAACATAATGGTCGCCGCGTATAAACTTTCATAAGCACAGACTGGTGTGGTTTTTTTCTGGGTTTTTTCATATTCCAAACCTAACATTATGATACTGCTAATTTTACCTCTTACGCCCACACCTCCATCGTGCTCACTTATGTCCTTGGCAAAGACGCTAATACAATCATCCCGTCGTTTGTATGTACATAATGTATATCAGTTTGATTTAATAAATGTATTTGATATAAACTCACGTTTGCATGCTACACGCTTTGGTTATTTGAACACTGATTGGGTACATTCCTCATTTTTGTGCGTGTTATGTCTAAATTTGATACTTACATACCCTGTTTGTCCAAATAAAAGTCCTCCAGTAACAATTATTATTAATTTAATATTTAAATAGAATTAGAATAATGTACTTGTTTACACTCTTACGGAAATGTGAAACTTTAAACAAGGACAGGTGTCTTGTAAGCATATGAGCATAATGAAAGGTATATAAAATGGTAAATACATTGTGCTATATTATAATGGATGTACTAGATATAGGTGGGCTATCTATCTGTACTAATATGGGGAAATATCTGTTACAGCACAATCTCCGGTCGGAAAACGAGGTGAGTACACCACAGGCATAGTTTATTAACGCATTCGTTTACATTTATGCGAAGCATTTTAGTTTTTAGACGTCTTTTTACATGTACACGAAATACTGGATAGCTGATTTGGAGTCTCGTTTTGTAAAGTTTTAAAGTTTTGGCGTATTTAACAGCCACATAGAAAAGTTTTACATAACACAATTTGGATGGCTGATTATTGAACGCTTTCGAACTTTTGGCGTCATTTTACCTTCACAGAGTAAAGTTTTGGATAGTTGATCTAAGCTATCGTATATGTAAATCTTTTGAACTTTTGCCGTTCTGTTACCTATCACAAAGAAGGGTGTTTAGTCTTCCTATTTATGTGGAAGTTACTACGGTTTTTTTCTGACATTTAGCACAATTATTGATTGCGATCCTACACAAATGTTCCTTTTACAGAATTCTTTAAGTAACAATTTACCCTTTTTAGATATTAAAAAAAAATAAAAACGTGTAAGACATAGCACAAAATGTGTTTTTAACTGCTTCATCTATCTGACATTGCCAATAGATACAGTATTAATTAATATGAACAATGTTAGCCATGTATATCATAAGTGATACCTCCAAAAATCAACGTATAGTATTGACATATATGTACAATTTTGAGCCAAAATGAGCCGAAAGAAGTATATTAAACAAATTAGATTATCAATGCATACAGGCACGATCTCAAATTGGTTTTAAGTGTCCCTGTCATGCCGTACACTCAACATAAAAATCGTCAAGATGCGTCCATCGAGTCCATTGTTTAAGTAGGTGTGTGTCAGTGTGTGTAACCTTTATATCAAATACAGTTTTAAATGAAATTCAGTGATCACACAAACACTTCCTCATTATCAAAGATTGATATGAATCATATACTTTGTCGACAGCGATTTAACCATACATCTATAGTCAGCTGTGTTAAAATAGAGAGTCCAATGGCTTTTTTGAAAGAATAAAGACCCTGACAAATAATCATCTTGCATTTCACGTAAATTAATTATTTTATATTATCACACATAGATAAATATAGATTAGGGCCTTTTTAGGGAGTTTGAATTTTGTAATAATTTCCGAAAACGATACACAGAAGTATAAACAAAAAAATTTCATGAAGTTAAATTGCGCAGTGAATAAAATCATAGTTTTGTAATCAAAAGATGCGTGGATCGAATCCCCGTGGCAGAGATGCTTTTATGTTGGAAAAATACACAATAAATGCATCTCTGCCGTATACAACGTTTCATATAGCAAATAGGTAAACGCAAAGTCCGAAAAATGCCGAACAAACTTGAACCCTTTTGAGCATGAGCTACAAGTACTATACCTTCAAGAGCTGGAACTCTCTACCGTATTATTCTAGAATTCTCAACACCATGTCGTAAGCTAAATTTCTACAAAACTTCTTTTCTATTTATTGTTAGAACATGAAACAGTGATACATAATAAAATCGATAGAAAATCTGGGGAGCTGTGAACCTGATATATATAAAAGTGTCGGTATGTCGGTGTAAATGTTACGTAAGGAACACGGGAATGTCACACAGGGAATCCTGGCACGTATACACGAGTTTACAGCTTCTAATTCTTATCATTTCATCTGCCTCAGGTATCAGAAACCTCCAGCAAATTTGATAATAAACTAACGAAATAATGACGAGAATTATACGTTCGAACATATTTGATCGATTTTCAGAGAAATAGTTTTACTTTCTGTAATTTCAAATAGGCTTTAACTGGCAACTGGGACTTTTAAATAACAGACAGAGAATTACGTGTTTGAACAAGTGACAGATTAGACAGTAAATAATTAGTAGTCCTGTCACTACCAGGCACAATAAAATAATGTATCCATCTTTATGTTATTACCTCTAGTCTGTAATTACTTGTGCTTGTTGTCTGAAATTCCTCGAACGAAGCGAGAAATTTATTTTTATAGCTTAATAAAGATTAAAATTTGCTTCAATGGAAGAGCTGCTGTTTAAATACAAGCGCAATTCTCTCAAATCGAGTCAATAATGTAATGCATTATCAGGTCAAATACTCCAACCCGCGCTACAAAGAGACACAGCACAGACATTTACGTGCATATATGTCGGGTTACCAAACTGTATCACAGTTAAAGTCGATGGATTTCTCTGTCCGGTTTTAAATGCATCAGCAATTTAAGGCTCATCAGACGTATACACATGTCGAAATAGTGACGAATGCTCCAATGTATGCTGATTATATTGCAACGTACCTGAATGACTTTATATAATTATATATAATGGCATATGCAAATTGTAATGCAGTTTTAGATTAGCCATTACACAAAAATAATTTCTATCATTGCTAAATCCATTTTGCAATAATTGTAATCATTGAGTCGAGGCATATCTCGTCAGGTCGCACATCTAATTTGCATGTTTTTCATGCCTGATGTACTTGCCCGTTCGACGTTTTTCATTTTATAGTTCACTTGTCGGAAGCAATTTTGCATTATAATAACATTACCATACTTCAATATGTTTCGAAAAGCCACACTCGCATACGTTCACAATTAAAAGTTGTTGTTTATGTTTGCTAGAAAACAGTTGCTTTAATTTCTCTTCTAGAATCTAATATAGATCCGGATAATTTACCTATTAATGAAGATCCATCAAAAACAGGGAACCATCAGAGTCGGAATCGACCGTCCCACGGGGTGTTCGTCTGTGTGCTTCTTATTTCCATCGTACTCATATGAGTCTCTTCCGGTGCTGGTGAGTTGGTATGTATTTTGATCAATGGGCGATAAGTATCGGTATTCGCAGCTAATAATTCTTTTTCATAATCAAATTAAATATGTGGCATTGTTACAACATACAACTGATATTCAATAAATTATTAGTTTCATTTAAAAGCATATTTTAAAAAATGCGAAAAGATCAGTGTTAATGATTACATCCATAAGCAATCAGACAAATCGTTAATATCTACAAAAGACGTAACGTCCATGATATAAAACACGATAATGTACTTTCATGCGTAAGAGGAGTACCGTTGTAATACCTGTACCAATAAATGTAACCAGATTCTCTTCTGTTTTCTGTTTCTAGTTTTGTATTTTTGAAATTCCTTTTCTATTACTTTTTTTTTACTTTTGATATTTTGTTGAATGGTTAGTAATGATCTACCTTTGTTTCCATGGCAGTTACGGTAGGGACCAATCATTGCGGTTCCCACTACACTTACATAGAGCCTATTTTTGTACGTACGTAAGAGGAACAGAACCTTGCCTCGACGACTGCTCTGCCACGTGTGGGCGAGGCCTTGCTTTATCATACTACCAACAGAACGGAGATTACGGAAGGTACGTTATAAGGATATTAATGACGGGCAAACCTCAGACTTAATGAACTACGTACGGTTGTGTATTGATTATATCTATATATAAAATCCTACATTATTTCAGTGAGAGATTTTCACGTAAAATGCTACGTAGTTCCTTATCAAAACGACCACATGAAAACCATGATTTCTTATCAAAAATACTTACAGTATTTTTAACGCTTTTATATCAATACATACCAAATATTGAACAAAGTATTTCTAATTCACAGAAAACTGGTATTTAACATAGAAATACAAATCAAATCCTAAATAAAGCATATCTTAATCAACGCCAATAGGCATCAATCACAGGAACACATTTATAAACTCCTTCATAAAGTATCTTTAAATGATTGCCAACGGACATCAAACTTAGAAATACATATAAAACAATAAACAAAGTATCTCTCAATCAACGCCAATAAACATACATATAAAATCATAATAAAGTATATCTTAATCAATGCCAATCATAGAAATACACATTAAATCTGAAACAAAGTATCTATATATCAGTGATTATACATGTAGACATCGATCACAGAAATAGTCATCAAACTATGGACACAATACATTATTTTTAAACGACTGAGAATTTATATAAAAACACAGAAATAAGTAATAAACCATGATCAAAGTATATCTAAACCACTTATAACTAGAGTGTTCCAACGATTACCAAAGAGGTTTTCAACGACACAGTAATTGAAACTCAAAAACGATAACTCTAGGGCAAAACGTTAACAAACGGAAATTTTTTAATTGAAACACTAGAAAAAAAATGCCTTAAGTCCTAGGTATTGATAAAAACAACAACAACAAAAATAATTACGTAAACAATGCATTGCTAACAGTGGCTATCTGTGCGGCATTTTTAAACTCTATTGTACATGTAGGACAGGATGATATTACTATAGACTAGGTTCGGATACCTTTGTCGTGAAAATACCATTACTTACGTTGTTCCTACCTGTACTTATTTGGTGACGATAAAAGCTGATACTCAAAAACCGATCTTTACAGTTGTGGGATCGCACAGCGTTACACGAGGTGCGGTGTGCGGTGTGCGAACGATGTGTGCACGGTGTGTGAACGATGTGTGCACGAAGTACGAACGATAAAAAAATGGACGATCATTACTTGCGCACATTTGTGCGGACGATGGACGAACGTTGTGCGATAACAATCGTGGTTGGTGTAAATTGAGGAATGCCCAAACAATATATACGGTTCAGTACATGTGTTTAAAAACATAAACTTGATTATTTAGTATGTTTCTATATTCTAACTACATCTATTAGTTTATCTTTCTGTCTATACTTTCTTAAATTTAGAAATGGTGTTTTCGGTGTTTTTTACACAACCTGAATCAACAAATGTAAAATTAAAACACAGTCTCGGCAATACAGTTTAAACATAGCCACTTTGTACCTGTACCTAGACCGTAGTTATCCCCCTGCCCGGGGCACTTACGTAACTCGCCAAGGTATGAAAACCAAATGGAGGGTTGCTATAGACCACAACGAATGTAAATAACAAATACTAAACGTCCAGTTGTGTTTTCATACGGTATCACTTATCAGCTCTATGTATCAGGCACGGGCCATGTAAAACTCCGGTCACTCATCAAATTGTTATTTACCTGTTTTGTTACATAGGTGCTAAACCCATTCTTGACAGTCTTACGGTCACTGTAACACTGTGTAACACGCATTGCAAAATTGTTAATAATCTTAATTATTGTGATGAGAAATAACAGTGTACATTATTGCATCCTAGCCTTCCGGTTTTTTTTTCATTCCGTAATATTGATCAACAAATTGTACCAAATCGCAAAGCGTACAACAGTTGTGTGCACCATGTGTGAACGGTGTGTGAACGATGTTTGCACGATGTGCGCATGGTATTTTTGGTGCGGTCACACAGCTATATACTACACATGCTTTGTATGTTTGCGCTTAATTGCGGTAATATTTACATATATATAATTGAAGTAAACATTCATCAATTGTTTAAGCACACGACAGAATTGTATGTGATATCTGCGGAGAGTATAGGGACTCTGTAACTCTCTGTTGACAAGTTATCTGTGTGTTACAGGCAGGCAGGCACGCCCGGGGCCCTACAGACGTCGAGACGAAGGATTGTTGAAAACTTGGGACCAAACTACGCTCAATCGTTCTTTTGTTTTGTTTTGTTGACTTTTCTACTTAATAATATGTATGAAGAGGGATTCTACCTGCATTACGGGTAAAGCTAGTGGGATCCGTCTTATATCTCCTTTGGACCCTCATGGCCAAATGATACCACTTGATATATATGACATTTTCATTTGAGGTACCCTACAAACGATCAAGATTTCACATGTGTTCAGATATATCATGATCACAGTAAAAAAAAACAAGTACTATTCAAACTAGTCACAAAGGTCACATGACCCCATTGATGCTACTTGTGATCGTTCACTGCTATGTGGAGACAGTTCACGGTTACGTGGAAGCAGTTCACTAGGATGTGGCCTGCATGCTACTTGTATGCTATTTCCGATTGTATGCAGGTATGCTACGGGAATTCTAATCGCGTTTAGAAGCTCTGTGACCATCACATCACGACGAGCTAATTGGCACGTGCATAGTGCAGGAATAGCACGTGTAACATGTGGTACCTATGGCAGTTTATGACCTGTGAACATGGGTGCAGGATAAGGCTGGGTCGGCCTGTGGTCTTGTCCCACTAGACACGTGCGACCATGTGATAACTTCAGCTGATGACACATATTTCACTACATTCCGGAGAGCTATATTACAAGGGGGAGACAGATTGATACGTGTTTTCTACGGGAGATACAGTAAACGTGGAACAACGTCGGCACTTTCTATAGAAGGTCCTGGAATAGACGGAAAACAACATTGTTAGTATTTCCTTTGATGTTACAGAATATGTTACATAACTAATGTGGACATGACGACTGAATTACTTACACGTGATTCTATTTGTTATGTATATAATGCCGGGCGTTTTTATTGCGTGCGAGAGTACTGGAGTAACGCAGCGCCGTTAACACTCTGACAGTGGGGAGCACACTGAACACTTGAGTCTTTAGTTTTCGAGTCGATTCGGAGGGCATTCCATACATTTCAAAACGATATCATGTACTTATTTATTACATTTCATCCAGATTTTCTCATTGGTGAAAAAAGTTGTTGTACTTAGGTTAATTCTGAGGGGTATTGACACTGATTGTTGTTTCCCTACTCGTCCGTCCCATCTCTAGTAAACATGTACCAATCAAGTGATGAACGCTATGCAAACAGTCTTCCATTAATACAACTGTAGACAACATTGCAATGATGATGTTTTTTAAATAAATATGACAAAACAGTATAGGGTTGTGTTAATACATGTATACGTGAGTTGTGATATGTTTTTGTTTAATTTATGTAAATAGACCTACATTTATTATTAAAATTTGTTTCAAGATACGATTTATTGAAATATAGGCATTGTTGCGTGTATTATTTGAACTTGATCGATTTGAATTCCAGAACATGCATTTCACATTTAAAGTTTAACAAATCTGAACAAAAAATCAGCATAGGATAATGAGCCTACAAGGATTGTAAATCTTTAATCAAGCGGCGACAGTTGATTTTTTTTCGAAGTCAATGAACTGATCGACAAGTAAACACAACGCATTATTTTGTATATTTTTTTTCTAATTATCAGATAATTAAAATCTAAACCTACATTGACATTGTGTCGATATGTACCAGCACAAGAGAACAATTTGTCACAGCATGCGACATCAAAAGCAGAGCAGCATGATTCTTATAATGTAAGGAAGGATACATGGCGTGTTACACGATCTAGATTACCAATTAGAATACATCACACGAAGAACAAAGACACGTGAATGTATTCCACACAAAAATGTGCGGATCATTCCGTCATACATTAAGAATCCAATGCCACCATTCTGTCGCTTTATGAAAAGTTCTTTTTACACAACCAATACAATTTTCTATGTGACGAAATCGATGACTAGTAATATATGAACACTGTCACCTTGCTCAGACAAATGACCAGTGAAGCGTATGCACAATAGGTATAAATTGTGTACGAGTTGTCCACAAAATCGATGTCGATTTCGGCTACGCTGTCAGCGTATGCACAATAGTTTGGATATATGTACCGAAATGACTCGATACAGCTACGCTTTGTTTAATACTTGGGCATAGATGTGCGAGAGTCTTACTTGCTAAGGGTACATGTATGAACTATGCCATCGTTCCAAATAAAATCCCAGTTGATGATTTTTTTTATAGTCATAGAACAGGCATGTACGAAACTAAGCTATGCTGAGGCTAATCAACTGAAATCCCAGGTGACGGGGGTTTTGCAATCCACAAAATTACCAACAAGTAATATGACGAAAGAAGGACGGTTGCACTAAAAACAATAAGCCGAGACAAATCCATTACCATACTAACAGCTGTCAAGGGGAAGGCAACAGTTGTCAGTGACACCGAAGATTATGAGGCCTAGGTCACAGCAATGCTACAGGACAACAACACATATGAACAGCTACAGACCAATCCAACCTAAAAGTTTAAAAGGCGTCTCTAAGCCCTCCTGTCAAAATTTGACAAGAAAACAAGATTACCAAAGGCCAATACAGATTTCTGTATGCTACAGCAGAGAACACTCCTCTCTCTTTACCAACACACCCTTTGACGACGCAATTAGAATCATTCGGAAACCCTTAAAACCTGGCGCAAAAACACATACCTCGTGATCAGGACATGGATTTGCAGGAATTTATGCTGACAACAACATATTTTAGTTTCCGAAACAACATATATCAACAACGCTTCGGCACTGCTGTGGGTATTCCAGTGACTCCCATTGTGGCCAATTTGTTCATGAACATCTGAAGCAAGAAGCAATAGTCGCTGCCCCCATAAAAGGCAAGTCTAGATTATGGAAACGATATGTTGACGACATACTTGCGATAACCAAGAAGGGTTCACAGAAGGATCTGACAACATATATCAACATCATTGATGCCACTAACAACATCAAATGTACATGCAAGGAAGAAACCAACGGCACAATGCCCTTCCTAGACACTCTACTGGTAAAGAAACCGGAACCGTGAAGGTATTGGTCTATAAAAAACAACAACATACGGATCAATACCTGAACTTTAAATCTCACCATCCTGTGCACCAGAAGTTAGGCGTCGTACACACATTTCTCAACAGATGTGATACAGTAGTCACAGAACAAAAGGACAAAACACAAGAGCAGAATCACATCGCTAGGGCAATGAGAATATGTGCTGCCCTAAAACGGGTACAAAAACAGTGTCAAGGTAAGGGGAAGAACAAGAAAAGGCCAATCAAGGATAAGAACAGAACCAAATAGCAAGTGGTCATACCTGATGAAGGTGACAGTGTACATATCGTACTAGTCATCGAAACGTCACATAGAAAATTGTATTGATTGTGTAAAAAGAACATTTCATAATCCATACTGACCAACCTGAAGAAAATGTTTAGAAACATCATTCTGTCGTGTCGGAACACCATCATATTGCTTCCGAACTAGGTCAAGATGCCCACCGGTACAGGTTCAATTTCAATTTCAATTTCAATAAATTTTATTGTCAAAGGACAAATGGATTGGGTAGCAGGCATAGCTTGTTTAAGCCCTCTCCAAAAGTACATGTAGTAACAAATAGTGGTACAACCATAGACATAGACATTAGAACACATAAAAACACATAAAAAATATAGTAATTGAATTAGGGGAAACAACTACTAATGCCCGTTTTTATTATAATTGAATCTAATGGTTTAAATACTAACCTTTTAATTTGATACCGAAAAGACATATATTTTATATATATATATATATATATATATAATAAAAAGTGATTAAATGTCCATGTGAAGGAAGTAAATATA